GTGTAAAACTATACTAAGCAACCTTAAGTATGTGTATATCAGGTATATTGTTATTGCGGACACAGCCGCCTGCGAAACCCTAAATGTCACTGTCGAAAATCTTGATAACAAACCTTGTAACAGTTCATATTGTCTGCTTTCCCCCATTGTTATCCTTATATCTCCCTTCTCTTTTCTGTACCCCATATACTTGAAAATCAATAAAAATTTGCAATAAAAAAAAGAAACAGCTGCACAAGAACATAATTTAAGTGTTTTTACTATAAAGACACAGTTAAATATTAACTTTAAAAAAAACAATCCTCCGACCATAGTGTATGGAATTCACACAATGCAACGACCTCTACCCCGATCTACCGTTACAATAAAGGAACTCTATGGGCACTTAGACCACTTCCTCTCAATGTCTATTTAACCCTGCAAATAAAAGCCTTGTTGTTTTGCTGGAACGACTATGTTTACACTGCAGAGTTAACATGCCTGTGGCTGTCTCCTACCCCAACAGCCCAATAGCTGAGTTAACCTCGGCTAGTTCAATCAGATGGTCTTATAGAGACCATGACTATTTGACTGACGCAGCGCAGTGTTTTGCAGGACATGCACATCAGTCTCCAATATTTCCCTATGGGGAAACATTGGATCGGCTGAGAATATCTACACTGATAAGCTCAACCAAAGAAGTGAAGCAGCAAAATGGAGGCCAGCATGGTGATCGCTGAAAGGTCAGAAATACTCACCTTTCAAACCATCCCTCGCCTGTGGGGGAGGGGGAATACATGTTTGATGCATGTATTCAATGCTTTAAGTTATGTCACTTATAGAAAGAATGTGTAATGATAATGTAATGGTTGCCTGTTTTCAAACACCAATAGCTTCATGTGAGATATAGTAAGAAATTGTATTTAAATATATTTGTATAGACATACTGCTACAACCCAGACTGCTATACACACACACAAACATACTGTTACCCACACTACTACACACATACACTACTACACAAGTCTCTGCCCACACAATTACAAGCACATACAATCTACACAAACACACACTGACACACATAAAGGCTTGAGAATTCTGTATCTACAGGATGTAAACATGGCATAGTGGCAGAAGAGGATAGTGGTCCATGTAAAAGAGCGCAGTGCACTTCCCTCCAGCCAGACAGCCTGACATTGTGCCCCCAGGGCCAGTGCGCCCTAAGGCGGCCGCCTGGGCTGCCTTACGGTAGCGCCGGCCCTGACTGGAGGCCAATGCTCATGAGAGCTGCCATAAGCTGGTTTCTAGCTATGCATCTTGTGTGCAGCAGATCACAACAGCAAAATGGAACTCTACTAAGTACTTAAGATGCTTGCCATAAAGCGGTTAAACAACTATGAGACTAGAGAAGTCATTATAAGTTGCGTTTTCAGTTGAATTTGGTGAAACAATTTGAAGCATTTGTTGTGTTGAGCCATTTTAATTGCTTTTGTTTGATTTGTTCATTGCAATCAGCTGAAAGTCTGTAAATGTTTATAACAGGAAGCGGAACCTGTCAGCCGAGCGGACCAGACGTGTATTGTCTGAGCTCCACTATCCAGAACTGAAAAATGTTGAATTATACTGGGCCACTTGTTATTCCGACCCGCTACCAGCGTTTTTCCTGATAAGGGGACTTTGGGGTATCTGGGGATACCAAGTTTGAGCTTCTCCATCGCCATAACGCTGGCTTGCGGCATATAGAGACGGCAGCTCTCCTAGCCCTTCACCTGGCAGAAGGGATGCTTGTACCGACCTATCCCCCCCTCTGGACCAGTGGGGGGTCATCCTGGTCCCTTCCCGCCCCCCCAGCTTACTCCATATACCCTCCAGTGCAAATTTGAGCACCTACTCACCAATGTAGCCAAGCTTTTTGAAAGCTTTGGGGCAAAACTGGAAACCTGTGTTACTGTAGCGCCACTTTAGAACCAGGAGGAAGAGCAAAGTCAAGATCGAAGAGAGGTGAGCAGGCCCCCTCTGGGCACAACCTCTTAACAAGCATCAGGATCTGCTAAATTAGGCCCGCCTGGGCTGAAGGCAACTGTTATATAATTCCACTGCAACTACCACAGAGGCTGAAAAACCATCGCCGCTTGCCGTGACGTACCACCATGAGCTTCTGCTGTCCCACGATTGAGAAAGACTTCATGTCAGAGTCCTCTACATACTTCCAAGCTTGGGCATAGGCTGACGCTGGATTTCCAATCGCCAGTCCTATTCTGATGATACTTTCATACCTGCTAACATGGCTCTGTGTTTTTCCATTTTATAATAATGATTTTACTTTACATTTTTTAAATTATAATATGTGCAATGCAGCAATAATCCAGGGAGTTTAGTCTTGGGAGTTACATCTTTCTGATACTCTTCTCTAGCTTCTCTCTACCACCGTTTGGTTTTACTTGTGTAATATCTTATCCTGTCTTCAAAGCCTACTCTTGACTGTCACGTTGTCTCGCACTTTGTATTTAAATGTTCTCTCATTCTTTGGTATTTAGACGTGTATATTTAAAGCTGCTATGACCTATACCAGGCATAGGCAACCTTCGGCACTCCAGATGTTTTGGACTGCACCTCCCATGATGCTTTGCCTGCATTATGGGTATAAGAGCATTATAGGGGATGTAGTCTACAACATCTGGAGTTCCGAAGGTTGCCTACCCCTGACCTATACATTATAAAAATGTGCTGTTCCATCCAAATGATGCATAACTCTTTTCTGCTGTTTATGACTTCATGTCACATGTTTCATTGTTACCTGATATTCTTGATTTTGCTGTTGTAGCATTGCAGGATGTTTTGTATTCTAAAGCACGCCAAAAATAAAGATTTACAAAAAAAATTTTGATAATAAATCTGATTTTTTTTTAATGGGGGTTGAATAATTTTGATTACAACTGTATATGTTAGACACCCTATTTCCGTTGCTATATGGGTACATTACCTGCATCACATTTTATAGTGTTATATGTTATATAGTGGAATATGTTGGTGCTATATAGATGCCTAAATTAATAATTAAGACATACCTTAAACCTGTATGGCCATAGGACCCAATTTCTTAGCCACCTAATCTATAACCCAATACATTATATATATATATATATATATATATATATATATATATTTGTCCACTACTAGCTCACTCTTTAAATAACTGTTTCAATATTTTTTTTCCCTTGACATTTGTCTCCCACGCACTACTTAACATGCAGCAGAATTATTGTCAGCAGAATAGATACAGTAGAATAATAACACAGGTATGTCAAAAGAAGTGATATTTGCTCAAACACACCAGTGAGGTATCCCCTACACCTTCACATAAAATAACATACAAAACACGAAGAAATAGGTGGAGCAAATGGTGATAATGAAAGAAAGAAAAATAAAATTAATACTTCTCTTTCTTCTAAATTTAAGCTGTGGGAAATAGAGAGATACAAAAATAGTGCAAATATTGCTGTACACAAACTCTTAATAAATATGTGTCAAATTCACTCACAATGGAAGAGCCATATAATATAACCTGGCTCTGGTGTGGATCTCCTCTGGGATCTTAATTGGGTGATCCCCAGACCTCTTTGATGCTTGTTATAGTCAGTCTCCCCTCAGTGATGAACCATGGAAGGTATTTTCCAAAGCAAAGAATATTTATTCAAAAAAGGTAAATAAATAAAAATAAGTAATAGTAATACAATAAATAAAACCTTGTAATGTCCAATATGCTTGCCAAAACGCGTTTCGCCGATGTGGCTTCCTCAGTTGGCATATAATGTTGGTATTCTCTTGATTCTTTAAATCTTCTTAGAGTTCGCGGTCAAATTTCCGGTGGAACGCATATGCGTTCCACCTAGTACTTCCGGGTTCCGTCCCCTTGGTGGCGTCCATGTCACTTCCGGTTTCGGCAATAATTCGATATATCAGGTGGAACGCATCTATGCGTTCCACCGTTGATTTCCTAGTTCCATGACATCATTTACGGTCTAGGCCGGACTCGTGCGTGCATACGTCTCTTTTTAGGCGTCATTGGAACGCATATGCGTTCCATACTAATTATACTGTCCATAATGTCTTTTAAAAGCCAATGTAATACTTGAGAATGTTGCAAACAAATCTTTTTCAAACAATGCTTAGAGCCAAATAATGTTAATCTAATATTTCAAATAGTGATCCAATGAGAAGATGGAAAGTAAATAATAGAGGTGTCTAAAAGCAAGTATAAAATATGCCCTTAAGCTGGTACAAATATAACATTACCAATTCTAAAAACATAATATAAAAATAAAAATATACTTTCTAATGGAAGGCATGCATACTATAATTATAAGAAACGGACAAACACCTATATTAAGAACGTTCCTAAAATCTTAAAGGTATATCACAAGCAGAGTTATATTAAAAATTAAAAGTATATCACAAGCAGAGTTATACTAAAAAATGACACAACTCAAAGTCTTGATTAAGACCATGGGGAATCAGGGTCTTAAAATTGTAGATATAGATATAGTGCTTATTGCTCAGCAACTTTCATCGAACATTTGTGCTTATAACGCCCGCTAGTAGAAGCATTAAATGCCTTGCAGAAAAAAAAGAAAATAGCAGGTGAAGGCAAAAAGAAAAAAAATATATATATTCACTTTATTTAGTTTTTATTGGCCGACATGAAATTATTGAAAATGTTTGTAACTATTTACCATTGCCTATTTAGTACATATCCACAGAAAGACAATAGAATGAATATTTTATACTTAATTTTTACCACTAGGGGGTGGTATATAACTTTTTTAGTGTAATGTGATTTACAATGTGATTTGTTTTTGAACAGTGAAGCAAATTATAGCTTTGCTGCACAGAGATCGAGAGTTACCATACTTTGAATGCTACTGAATGTTGGATATAGTCCATATAATAATGTCCTTCTTTTTCCCTATAATTCCTCCATTGACTCTCTGGTCTCTACCTCTTCTATCTCACCGGTCTTTCTTTGATCCCTCTAATATCCTCTCTCTCATTATAACGTCCAATCCCTTTCATTTAAAGTCCTTCTCTGCCCCGTTTGTTGCTTTACATTTCTTATGTCTTTCTAATGTCTACTTCTGTCCCTCTAATGTCCTCCCTCATGGAGTCACCCCCGTTTATCTCTCTGATCCTCCTCTTTGTCTTCTAATATTCCATAATATGACATTCTCTTCTCACCTTCTGTACCTCTATTTCCCAGTAGTTCATTCTCTTCCATAGACACTGATCAAAACCACCAAAGACACCCACAACAGCTTGGTTTTGTCTTACTATTTACTACGTTCTAGTCATTGTAATCAGGAGATTCATTTAACATTGAGTTTAGATGCATTCGCGTGAATCCTGACTTTTTAAAATCAAACTGCTTATGTTGGGGAAGAGGGGAAAAGTATAGACTACTTGATGAAGAATAAAAATAAACAAACTATTTGTCATTACCTTGTCACAAACAGTTCATATGAATTGTGTTACGACAAACAGCCCCAAAGTTATTTTGTGTTTTATTCTATGAACCCCAGTTTAATCGGTTTAGTGGGGATTTTGCTCCCAAATTCTTCCTAATGATTGTTAATATCTTCCTGTTCTTGTAGCAGCCAACCAGAAAGGAGCCATGATTGCCGGAGTCCTTATACCACTGTCACTTATTTTCATCCTGTGTTGTTGCTGTTGCTGTGGAAATAACCAGTCAACTCCTAAAGACAGGTATTTATATGCAATAAACCTGATTAACAGAGTAGAAGTCTGTCTATTCTTTTAAGTGAAATATTTGGCATAAAGGAAGTCTACATATTGTGCTTCTCCTAGAAATTTTCAGTTTTCCATATAAAGAAATGGAAAAACATCTGAGCTAAAGGTTAGAGAGATATTGGAAAAAATAACCAAAGACAAAGTTAGTTCTCTAACAGAGGAGAAAACGACAACTCCCATTGTGCTTTGCCACAGTAGCAAGTTTTTAATTATAAATTGGTGTCCCACTTTTGCTATCCTTTATCTACACCATTTATGCAGTGGGTATGCCAGGGCCCCCATCAGAAATTTTGGGGCCCCTGACAAAGCACAAGGTCTGGGGCCTCCCTCTGTGACCCCCCACCCTGGCCCGCCCACGCCCTACCTAGTCCGCTGACAATGATGTGGGACTGAATGTGGTGTGTATAGTGGAAGTGAATTAGAATGTGTGTAATGGATGTAGTGTTTGTGTGTATTAGATACTGTTCGTTCAGTGAATGCAGAGTGTGTGTTTGTGTAGCGGATGCAGTGTGTATAATGAACGCAGAGTGTGTTTGAGTAGTGGATGTAGTGTGTGTACAGTGATGTAGTGTGTGTTTGTGTAGTGGATGTAGTGTTTGTGTGTGCTAGATGCAATGTGTTCAGTGGATGCAGTGTCTGTAGTGGATGTAGTGTGTGTATTAGACGCAGTGTCTGTGTATAGTGAATGCAGAGTGTTTCAATGTGTGGTGGATGTAGTGTGTGTACTGTGAATACAGGATGTTTGTGTAGTGGATGCTGTGTGTATAGTTAATGCAGAGTGTGTGTCAGTGTAGTGAATGCAGAGTGTGTATCAGTATAGTAAATGCAGAGTGTGTGTCAGTGTAGTGAATGCAGAGTGTGTATCAGTATAGTAAATGCAGAGTGTGTGTCAGTGTAGTGAATGCAGAGTGTGTGTCAGTATAGTAAATGCAGAATGTGTGCATAGTGTAGTGAATGCAGAGTGTGTGTTAGTGTGTAATTAATGCAGTGTGTGTTAGTGTAGTGAATGCAGAGTGTGTGTTAGTGTGTAGTGAATGCAGAGTGTGTGTCAGTGTAATGAATGTAGTGTGCGTGTTAGTGCAGTGAATGCAGAGTTTGTGTTAATGTGTAGTGAATGCAAAGTGTTTGTGTGTTAGTGTAGTGAATGCAGAGAGTGTGTTAGTGTGTAGTGAATGCAGAGTGTGTGTCCGGGTAGTGTATGCAGAGTGTGACGTATTAGTGTATGCAGAGTGTGTGTTGTATTAGTGTATGCAGTGTGTGTCAGTGTAATGAATGCAGTGTGTGTCAGTGTAGTGTATGTAGTGTGTGTGTTGTACTAGAGTATGCAGAGTGTGTGTCAGTGTAGTGTATGCAGTGTGTGTGTCAGTGTAGTGTATGCAGTGTGTGTGTTGTACTAGCGTATGCAGTGTGTGTGTGTCAGTGTAGTGTATGCAGTTCACTGCCTCCAATAACTCTCGCGAGACCCGTGTTGCCATGGCAACGCTCTGCGCGGCACGCAGGCTGCGGGTCTTGCGAAATTTATTGGAGGCAATGAACTGCGTGTGAAGAAACTGTGTGCTGGGCCCCCTATGCGGTAACAGGGAGCTGGGGGCCCGCGGCTGCACACATAGATAGCGATATTCGCTATCTATGTGTGCAGAGAAGGAAAGTGGGGCCCAGGACTGCCAGAGCAGTCCGGGCCCCCCAGGACCGCCGGGCCCATGACAACCATCAGGGTTGTCACCCTCTGATGGCGGCCTTGGGGTATACAGGCATGTAAGCATTACCTCTATTTTCTCAAGCAGTTGAAAAAATTATATTCTCTGGTACAAGGGATAAGGCATTAAATAATCATTCAGACATTCACACATGGTACTATGGTTTCCTATGCCCTGTCCCTCTCAATCTACTGAAAATGTATGTTTAAATAAGAAAGTCTTTCAATCCTGTAACACTACAAATTGCAAATAGGACAAAACCTTTTACATGCAAAGGCAACCTCAACTATCGTCAGCTGATATGCCATAGGTTGTCCATCACATGATATTAAAGGACCACTATAGGCACCCAGACCACTTCAGCTTAATGAAGTGGTCTAGGTGCCAGGTCCATCTAGAATTAACCCTTTCTGCTGTAAACATAGCAGTTTCAGAGAAACTGCTATGTTTACAATAGGGTTAATCCAGCCTCTAGTGGCTGTCTCATTGACAGCCGCTAGAGGCGCTTCCGCGCTTCTCACTGTGATTTTCACAGTGAGAAGATGTCAGCGTCCACAGGAAAGCATTGAGAATACTTTACTATGAGACTGGCTGAATGCGCATTCAGCCGATGACGGGGAAAGGAGGAGGAGAGTCCCCAGCGCCGAGGGAGGGATTAACCCCTTCCTCACCCAAGAGCCTGGCGGAAAGGTGGCCCAGAGGGTGAGGGGGACCCAAGGACCCTATAGAGCCAGGAAAACGAGTATGTTTTCCTGGCACTATAGTGGTCCTTTAAGTGATTCGCTCGTCTTAGTTCCAAATAAAAGTTAAATTGTTATACTACATCATTAAAAGTGTAATAGACAACAGTTATATGTCTACCCTTTGCTAAAACCCTAATTTAAACATAATTTTGCTTGATTACAGGGTAAACAATGGAGAAGGTGGGTCCTTATCCCGAATGAAGCACAATTTTCAGGGAGCTCTGGCAAACATTTATTCTGTGTTACCTTGTTGTTCTGTTGGGAATTCAAAACTTTCCTGGGTTACAGGTAAGAGATTTTTGAATCCAATACCTTTTCCTTTCCAATGTACCCATTGCTATACATATTAAACACTGTGGCTTTTATGTTCCAGTGTCACATCATGATGCCGAGCTTCCCTTCAATCATAGCTTCATCGAGTCCCCTTCCACTGGCTGGTTATCAGAGAATTCTTTTTCCTCATTTGAGTCAGATGATGGGGGACCTGTGTATTGTGTTCCTCCCAGAGAAGGTAATACACAGATATTTTCTTTGGGTTTAAATGTAATAAATGTGGATGTGTTCATTTCACCACACACAGGACGATGACTTTAGTTGGTTTAATAATCAGTCTACGTGAGAACTGAATATTCTAAAATGTGGGGAACAAATGGCCAGTGTTAAATGGATTTCGCAAATTTTGCTTCCACATATAGCCTACCATATTAGCTGCCATCATTATTATTATTATCACTAGCATTTATAAAACACCAGCATATTCCAAAGCGCAGTACGACTGAGGACAAGACAGTACAATATGCACAGACCAAAACAAAAGGTAAAAAGCCCTGCCCGTGAGCTGACATTTTTCCAGATGAATGAGGGCACACTATGAGCACCATCATCACTGCAAGTTCCCTGTTCCATCTCCTTTCTACCTTTTCACATTCACAAGTGGTAGAGCAGTTTATTAACCCCATGCTGTATGCTGCATTGAAAAAGGGGATTGCCCTAAAACATTTGCCTGTTTCCTATGTCCTTCAAATTAATTTGAGTAGAACATCTGATGCACATTGCAACTTGTAGCTCAGCCTTCATTCTTTGTTTTTCTGATACTCATTTCACTTCCTGAGCAACAGTGGGATGCATTTGCAGCACAGTGTGAATATATTTATCTTTCTAAAAAACCTAAAAACATTTTCTTGGATAGTGCACAAACCTTTATTTCATTTCGATTAATTTGTGGCCACATTTTGCGTTTTTCAATTTTGCTCCTCCTGAGGTTTCTCCTTTCTTTGTACTTTAATTCCATTATCCTTAAAATGTACGCAATATGAGTATTTCATGAAGATGGTTTTTTTGTAAAATACTCTGAAGTGATATAGCAGTGAGAGACCTGCTTAAATATTGACCATTGATACTTCGTTTCAGGAATGTCTGTAGCAGATATCGATGGATTCCAGGAGATGAGTTCTAAGTGCAATGTATTTCCAGAAGCACTAGCTTTTAACTCAGACGACTCCTGTCAACCATTTTCCATCCCCAGGACTTCCAGCATTGCCAAAGCCAAAAGGCCATCAGTATCATTTGCTGAGGGAACCAGATTTGAAAGCAGAAGATCCTCCACCACTGATACACCAAATCTTGCTCGGAAGCCAAAACTTGCTTTAAGTTTGCCAAAACTGCCTTCGATACAGTCAAATACACTCAATGGGGAAGAACTACAAAAATGTGAGCAGACCAATGGAAAACTGAACCCGGAACTGGAAGATCATCCAAAACTCCAAAGAAGCATGCCAGTTGGGCGCCGAAGAACTATGTCTAATGCACAGAAAGTAGCCTTGAAAATTGAAATGGCAGAATCTGGCACAAGTGAAAATATTTATGAAATGAAAAGGAAGATCCCTGTTATATCAACTGTTTATGTGAGTGTTGGACCCCCCAAAAAGCCATATAAGCCTCGTAGAAAATCAGAAGGCAATGTGGATGGGGCAGTCCAGGCTGTGCTGAAACGTTTGGGCAGCTTTCAGAAAGGTATTCCAAAACCAGTACGGAAAAGTTTACTGCAGCCACCAAATTTCAGAGCTTCTCAAACAAAGATATATGAAGAAGAAGGCAAAACTACCAGCAAAACCTGTGACTCCTCAAATGTGCCCCCAAATGCCAGGTTGCAGGACAACACAAAAAGGAAAGCCCTTGTGCCAAGTTCCTCCATTCTTAAGAAAGTAGTAACTAAGGGTGAGGGGGACACTGAGTGGGAGGGAAGCACCGGTAATTTGGAGAATGTGTACTCCAGCTTGACTGATCCAGTGCTCTTGGAACAAAACTTAAATGAAGAGCATATCTATCAAAGCCCAGAGGGTACAGGACACTTGGAACCAAAGTATGAAAATATAACACTACCACATTCCTATGACAATAATGAGATAGAGACATGTCCTGTATATGAAGATGCCCAAATGACTAATGAGAGTTCTTAAGTGAAAAAAAGACTTCAGCTATCCTCAGTAGTTTCACAGCAGTATACTGAATTGTCCAAAACATAAAACACATTTTTTTATAGAAACCAATAATAAAAAAATAATAAAAATATTGACATCTAATTTTTCTGGGAGGAGGGGTAGTGAGAATGTGCATTTTATTTATTTTCATTTTTTAATACAAATAAGTGAATTAACAGTGGTTATTTTATCATACATAAATTAGAAAGAAACATAAATATAACACTAAAGTAAAAAGAAAGGGAATTTTTAAAAAAAAGTAGAAAACAGTGAAACAAGAACTAGAGTGACCAGGCACCAATTTATAGTATGAAAACTTAAGCCAAATCTAGTAGAATATCTGTCACTGTCTAAAATTAAGAAATTATGACCTGTGCAACCAAAAGGCTAAGTCACTATCATACTTATCAGAGGACAGATTTAATTAAGTTGTGTTGAGATATTTTTGTAGCTGTTGAATAGTTGGAGGCGTATCAAGGATACGGACAGTGGCAAAGATTGGGGGCGGGGGGAGAATCAGCCGACCTTTATACAAGGAAACCATACATTCACTGAGCTTCACATAATGTATCAAGACACACTGCAACACATACAGACCCAACACATGCTGAATAGAATGCATTATATCACCATTTTGGACATGTATGTTTATATGTGGATACTTATAAGGAAAGGTCAGGAAGAAGTCAAAATCCTGTTGAGAGAAGTTTCATTAAAGTTAAAGGGACACTATAATCACCAGAACAACTATAGCTTAATGTAGTTGTTCTGGTGAGTATAATCATTGCCTTCAGGCATTTTTCCTCAGATGGCCACTGGATGTGCTTCCTGCTCCTACTATGCAGCCCTGCCATTCAGCATCCCAACGTTCTGCATGGAGACGCTGAATTTTCATCTTAAAACACTGCACATCCAGACTAATTAGCATTTTTGTGCCAGGGGCAAGTTGCACCCCCAGGACACTAGAAATTGGGAGCCCAGAACTCTGGGCTGCCAATGTCAATTCTGTACATAAAATAAGTCTCTTATTAGTGCGCACTGGATGCTGGCAACAGACGTAATGTGGTTCTCCCATGCAGGCAGAGCCTGCAAGGGAAGTCTTGTGTGTTCCCTCCAGCGGCGGGACTAATGTAGAGAAAGCCCTGGTGCAAGACAGTTTTTTTGGGCACCTCCTCTAGCGTAAGAGTATCCAAAAGGTAAATCCCGATCTGTTGTACAATTCCAGCAATGCTAGGCTACCATTTGCCCATCCTTGAAGGGTTGTATTTGTGAGCAGTGTCTGTGTGTACATTTGATTGTAAGCATGTAATTGTGTGCATATATGGGATTATCTGTATGTACTGATGCCATTGGAAGGTTGTGGTGTAATTGTGTGTAGTGTTTCTGTTTAAATGCAGGGGTGTGATTGTATATAGTGTTGACTTTTAAATACAGGTGTGCTTTTGTGTGTAGTGTTGGTGTTTCAATGAAGGGTTTTGTGTATAATTTTTGTGTTTTAATACGGGGCTGTGTTTGTATGTAATGTTTATGTTTGATTGCAGGGGTGTGTTTGGATGCAATGTTGGTTTAGAAATGTGGATGTACATTTGTGTGTAGTGTTGGTGTTTAAGTGAAGGAGTGTGTTTGTATATAATTTTGGAGTTTGAATGCAAGGATGTGTTTGTGTGTAATATTTGTTTCAGATTGCAGGAGTGTGTTTGCTGATTGTGTAGGTGTTTGTTTGGATGTATTCACATACACACATACACTGCCACATACATACATACTTAAACAGATATACATACACATTAACACATAGATAAACACATATAAACACACTGACACATACACACACATAGAGATATATACACTGACTCTAAGATACTCACACTGACCCAGATATATGCAAACTGACACAGAGCTATGCACACTGACTGACATATATACACACACACAATGCACACCTTGACACATACACACACTTTGACAAATGCACACACTGACACTTGCACACACTGACACACAGATACACACTGACATGTATACACCTTAACACACAGATGCACATACTGATACATGCACAGACCTTGAACTACACACACAAAATCTGACACACATAGACACATACATGTAATTTTATATTTGCAGCCACCCTCCTTTTAGCATACATGTTGTGTCCAGGAGGGAAACTTGCTTGGGGCCCTGCTTCTCCTGGATGAGGCTGATGGGAGTTAGAGTCTGCAGCAGCTCACTTCTTCCTCTCTTCTCCGAGCTACATTTGCTGCTGCCGTCTCCTCCTCCCTCCCTCCAGCGTGGCACGCTCTCTTTAAAGCTGGGAGGAAGTGATCAACTGTCACTTTCTCCCAGCATTGGCCATATTACAGGGGCTTGGTCGCGCTTTTAAAGGGTCCTTGCGCCTGACTGAGCCCCTGTAATATGACCAGTCCTGTTCAGCAATAATACTCATTGAGTAGCCCCAAGTGCATGAGCCACCCAATAGCACCCTGACCCTGTGGGCCCCGGTGCAGCTGCATTAGCAAGATCGGTGGTAGTTCCGCCACTGGTTTCCTCCCTTTAATTCTCCTACCTCCCTATCCCCTCTGTGTTTTTACCCCTCCCTCTCCCTTCCCTTTGCTGGAACAGATCGTGCCCTTTCATGACCAAAAAGCTTGTCAAGATAGAAGAAAAAAAAGATTTCAAGAAAACATACCATATAATGTATAAAAACCATGGGAATTAGGGATAAACAGTATCAGAATGTTTAGGCACAAGCAATATAAACTGAAATCCAAAATCCTAAAAGTGTGGCTAAAACTATAACCTTTAACCAGTTAGATCTTCCCTCTAGAACTTTGAAAAATATGTCAACAGTTATTACTAGGGATCTGTAAAATGCAAATTGTAGGCTAAAGTAGCTAAAAATTACATTATTTTTCTACATCAGCTATTTGTACCTAACATTTTCAATCCCTTTGTCAGTCATGCACAATCTCTGGTTTAGGAATGAATCCCAATGTTCCCAGCCTAAAATGGAATAGAGTTTACGCCAGCATCTGATCTGTACAATTTGTAGACAATTTATTCTCCAGAAATTAATTTAGAGAAAAATGAGACTGAAGTTGAAAAGCTCAGTACTGTGCAGTGTTTTTATCACAAGACCATGTTTAAAAAGTAAATTATCACTATGTCTGCAACGTAGTTGAATAAATTCAGCAAAATAAATAAACAAGTCGTAAAAATATCTCCTGCAAAAAGCTGAGGGTTACTTTGGATTTTTTGGCATGTTTGTTTACAGATATAACATCCTGTGCTAATATTATTTTGCCAAGAAGATAAGATTACAAAAATCCACAGTCCCATTATCATTGCTACAAAGTGTGCAGTGTGAACTATTCGCCATAACATTGCAATCCTTGGGCTATACAAATTTGAAGAAATTTACCTTTGCAGGTCTATGTACTATGTCCTCTAGACTCTTGTTTGACTGTTTTCTATCATCAGTTCCACTCATCATATTTGATGAGTGCAACTGTGATAGAAACTAAACTGCTTATACCATAAGTCTTTGCTGGACAAGTTAAAACCCATAGATCAGAATGTGAGGCTCAATTGTATCATGGAAATATGTTTACTAAACTTGAATTTATAACATTACAACCTATGAACTGAACCTCGTCATGGGTTCTTGAAGGGGACTGCTGGCCAGCATCTTGCCTCAGGACTATGGGCCCTGCAATATACCTTGCCCAATGCACTTGAAAAAGCTCTGTTCATATAAGGTATGTACTTTTGTACTCCAGACAGAGAGACCGACCATTAGCCCTGATTCCGTGGAACTGTTTTGGGCATAGGACCATGTGCACAGTCGGTCAAAAAAAAGCCTATCAGGAAATTCCTGAACCCCTCAACTGACCTGGGGGATTTTTGGAAATGTTGGTCACCCAGATCAGGGCTATCAGGGGATGTAACATTTGTGGGGTTTTATGTATTTGTAGGGTACTTTTGGGGTGTTTCTAAAAAGTGTTTTTTCAGTGCTTGGAGATAATGGGATTAGAATTAGTACAGTTACTGATCCAATTATCTCACAGGCAGAGGGGAAGGATTGTGTGCTGTGTGTGGGAGTGTCGTGTGTGGCGGAACCAACCTCGCCACTATGCACTGGAGAAGCCTGGTTGCCAGCCTCCTGCCATGTGACTATGGCCCCTGGGATGTATTGCCCTTTAAAGACATGATTTGGGCATAATGGATTTGTGTTGTGCTGCTGCTAGCCCTTTTAAGAACCATCTGGGGACATACTGTGGAGTTACTGGGTGGCCACCATTTCCTGTATCAGAAGCACATGGTGAGAACAATGGATGGCGGCCATTTTAACTCACAGACACTGTGTGGACTTTTCAACACGGTGCCATCTCGCCAGTATTTGTTGCACAGAGACATCGTGCGGTGGTTTTGGACTATACAGCAGGGGACACATTATACAGTGATTGTTTTTTATTTAGCCTGTATATATTCTGCAGAATCTGCATTAAACTGTATTTTCCAAAGTACTGAACGGATCTGGGTGAATTTTGGATATGTGGTTCACCCAGATCCCCCAGTTCCAAGGATATACTTTTTATGGGGTTATTGCATGTTTTGGGGTCCCTGTGATGTGTTTTATGAAACTGTATTTCTCTGGCTGTGATAATTAGATTACCCATTGTGTTCAGTAATCAGTAAAAACAGCCAGAGGGGAGGATTTTGTGTGGGTGTGTCTGGGTGTATTGTATGGATTGATTGGCTGTTTTGTAACGCCCTGTGGGCTGTACTATGTTTGTGGATTGGGAATAAAAGAGACTGTATGTGACAGTACAGGGAGTTCCTGTTTTAACCCTCAAAGTGAAGTGTCGTCTCATTATTGGGGGAAGGATTTATTGTATGCTGTTCCAGTTTGACTGCTAGGAGAGTAAACCTATTAGTATGGTTCCTATTCAACTGTCTACAGCATTCATATGCTTGGGAGAATTTATTTGTTTCTCCGGTTCGGTGATTGTGGTGTCTGCCAGAGTGCTTGGAGTCCTCAGGAAGCGCTAGGAGCATCCTTCAACGGAGGTACCCAGTCGGGGTGCCAGGCGATCCGTTACATCGTGCCTTGTAACCTTATTGTTATTGGCCTGTGAAGTTGCAAATCAGTCCCCCACAAGATCCCTGTGGGCATACCCCTTGCATGGGGATTGTCATATAAGGCCAGGTGTGGCTCCCATTAAACTGAGATTAGTTTACCCCTTCTTGGCTCATGTTTGGGGGATTGTAGAACTACATACACTCTGGGGATTGATATATCACAATACTCCCCTGAGTATAATCACTAGCTCTTATAAGAGCTGTTCCTGCTATGCTCTCTGGACAAGGAGTGGTCTATCCACTGAAAGCTGGATCCAGGTATTGGGTCCAGGGTGGGTGGAGGGTGGCGAGATCCCCAACCAAGATGTGGCTGTTTGTGGGAGTCTACAGTGGTTATGGTGTTCCAGTACAGTGCTTATGGTGCTCGCAAGTACTAGGAAGCAGCGATTGAGGTACCCTGTCGGGGTGCCAGTTGGTCCGTCACACAACCTTTTTAGCCTATATTTGCTTTTTGGGATGTAAAACTGTTCCAATTACTATTTTACTGTGGAAGTGGCAATGTTATCTGGTATACTATCATTAGTTAGTTTGGCTAATTAGAGCATCCGTGATTTACAAAAACATTTGCAGATTCTTTAAGGTTGCCACTTAGTTTAATTCATGCATTTTCATGAATTAAACTACTTAGAACTGCTAAACTTCATATCTCATGATGGACAGTGGTTTATGAGATATTTAGAGTGCTACTTTTGAAAAAATATGAAAGGACCAGAGTTTGCTTAAAAATATTAGATGATTACTGGTTCCTGCAGAGGAATTTAAGCAAATTAGTCATAATTGGAAAATAGTATCTTTGCTGCTTATTCCCAATTTATTTAATTAGATATTTGCAAAACTTTGATTCGCCCATTACTGAATCTATATGTCAAATGCTCTTAATCCACACCAAAACAAATCGATACCTGGTATTGATTCACCCAGTTATCACGTCACTGAGGTGTGGATTAAAAGTATTTTGATTGGGATGAATAATTTGGTTATGGATGAACTGAAATTTTGCACATGTCTAATTTTAAAACATTTTCTCCATAATGTATTTGAAAAGGGTCAATGCTGGCATCTAGTGTCTCTTTAATGGAAGAGTGATCATCAATAGCACCACACAGCCCCTTGTATCAAATCACATTCCTCCACTACCGAGTCCAGACTTGCAATTGCATTTTCAAAATGCTTTTTGTATTGAGTAGCATAGTAAAGGGGGAAAAAGTCGGTTGAGGTGTGCCGGAACCGACGTCTTGGTAGGCCTGTAGTAAAAGAGGGCCCACCCATGAGGTGTAATGAAAAGTATAGATAGAGAGAGTGGAGGGTGGGGACATGCAGATCGCTAAAAGCACATACGGGACGGAGGAAGGTGAGTAGGGGGGTAACATGCCCCTCCCACAACTGCAGGCCAAGCCTTAGCATTTGTGTGAGGGGCAAATAAGGCCGTATAGGAAGTGTATAAAGAGTAGCATAGTAAAGGGGGAAAAAGTCTGTTTAGGTGTGCCGGAACCAACGTCGCGGTAGGCCTGTAATAAAAGAGGGCAGAAATAGATACATGAAGAAACAATCAACAACTGATAAAAAAGAACTTAATTGCATAGCCATATGGTAAATGCCTGTCAAAAATCTTGTTCGGAACGAGGTACGTATGAGGAATATACGGAGACCTAAAGATTAAATATACGGACCAATATGAACTAATTTGAAGCCGTGGATGCCACCCTATGCCAGGGGGTGACCTGAATAGTTGGACGGATTGAACCTAGCCTCAAGATCGATGAAACTAAAGAATAGCATGTATTTAGTTGTTGTGAGGACTGGCCCATGTAGTGCTATCTGTGGTTGTGAGGCTTGGGTACTAAGAGAGAGTAAATAGGTGCCCGTAACTTTAAACTGCAGTCTTAGTTATGCGAAGGGAAGTAAGGTATATTAACGTGATGACCATCTTGGGTCGACTAGGGGTGAGATTTCATGAGAGAATGCTGCGAGATGGATGTGGTAGTTGTGGTAAATACGTGGGGCCTAAGGAACCGGAACCAGGTATATGGCGGCTTTGACTACTAGGTCGGTGCCTGGTTCGTAAGGACAGGCATCTTATAGGTCTGATAGGGATTGAAATAATTGGACGCTGATGGGAAAGCCGTAAGATTTAAAACTGACCGGGAACCTGAAAGCCTTGAGTATGGTAATAATCTGGTACGAGGACCTGAAGCTGTGTATGGCTGGTAACCCTGTACAACGTGTGACGTAGTAAAACCAGATAGGTATAGTCGATGGTATTTTGAGATAATGCAAGTTAGAAGGGGCAAAAGAAGCAAAACCAATCACAGACATCATAGCAAAAGAGACCGTAACATGCACAAGAAGGAGCCTCGAAAAGGAGAAGAAAGCCCACGTACCGCGAGTGTTAGTAGATAGAGCCAGACGTGAAAGATGATGACCACAAGCAAACAAGGCGGGCAGTCCGCAGGCAGACTCCGAAACACAGGGAACGGCAGTGAATATGGGAGAGGCCGTAGATAGAGCCATGTGGAAA